GGGTTGGTGGCTTTCAGGGTCTCAAACAAAATATTTTTGGGGCAGTCAGAGTCTCAAATAATTTATTGTTGCGGCAACCAGAGTCTCATTTCTTGTTTAAAAAGATTTCTTAATATAAAGCTCGACCGTACAAGGGAGACTGTAGGTGGAGTCGGGAGGCCAAGCGAGACGCTGCTGCCCTCGCCCCTGCGGCCAGCGCCAAAGCTGTGAGCAACCAAAGACCCGATGTCGGGCGACTCAGTGAGGCCACTCTTTTAGGCCTTAGAGGGATCTATAAGCGTTTCTTTAAGGGTACTGTAAAGGTTCTATATGAGTAGTTCTCTAAATTATGCCTTAGAGGTTAGAGTGAAGGTGTTAAAGGGGTTCAGGTTTGGGGCGTTTAGGGTTTAGGGGTCACGGTGGTTGGAGTTCAGAATCTAGAGTTCAGGCAGGGTGTGTGTGTGTGTGGGTATGTGCTTGTTTGCTTGTGTGCGTTTGCAGATCGTTTGGTTGTTTCTCTGTCGTTGCTTTTGCCCAGTCTCTGTCTGGAAGTTGTTGACATTAGTTCTTGTTCCTGATACTCGTAGCTTTTACGCAGAGAAAGCTACTGCTCTTTAGGGATGGGATTCCAGTACCACGAAGTACCAGATACAGCATATGATTTTTTTGGACATGAAGGGTGCTATTGGTTACTAGTAAAGTTGGACGCCTGACTTTGGTCTTTTATTTTCTGCAACTCCTCAAACATTTGCACCGCCTGGTAGAACGACAAGGGCACGTCTCGTCACATTGTCAGGCTTGCCCGAGAACCAGATATTCCCTGAACCATGCCTTCTTGAATACATAAAATAAATACATAAACACACACACACACATATATATATACATATATATATATATATACATATGTATTAATTTTTATACGCATTATAGGTGTCTGACAACCGTTGACAATATTCGTACACGGCTCATGAAATAAAAGTACATTAATAAATTCCCCCAGCCCCATTCAGGCCCGACCCCGTCTTGTAATGCTCTAAACCGAAAACCAGCCTTACTCAGATGCTTCAGGATGCTAGCGGCCGCCCCATTTCTGTGAACGATATGCGGCGGGCCATGGAATCCACCTGGCAAAAGCAGGGCCGGTCACGTGGCATGCAGAGCACTGCACATTGGAGCGTATGTTTTCGAAGCCTTATAGCCTATAAGCCTATGTATAGGCCCCAAAATCTCAAAGCCCATGAGTGGGCTGCGTAAGCTTTGGGTCCCTTTTCTTGCGACTCCTTCTGTGGCAAGCTCTTATTTCCGCCATGTCATGGGCCGGAGCTGTGGGTCTTGACCTCAAGAGTCGGTGTCCAGTGTCGAAGTGCAAGAGGAAACGGATGGGCGTCCATAACATATGTTGTATGTGTGTGTGTATGTATATATATATATATACACATAAGAAACACACACACACACACGTGTTTCTGTGTGGGTGTGCACGTGCGTGTGTTTATGCATGCATGCATGAGTGCCATGCAATGTCTTGCAATGTATGTACTGTATGTAGTATAATGTAATGTAGCGTAATGGATTTGAGTGCAAGTTATAGCGCAATGTATCGTGTAGCCTAATGTAGCCTAGTGTAGCCTAATGTAATATGTAGTGGAATGTAATGTAATGTAATGTAATGTACTGTAATGTAGTGTAATGTAATGTAATGTAATGTAATGTAATGTAATGTAATGTAATGTAATGTAATGTAATGTAATGTAATGTAGTGTAACGTAATGTAGTGTAAGGGGATTATGTATGTATGTCCTTATGTATGCATGTGCGTTTGCATGTATTGTGGGCTAAGGCAACCGCACGTCTAGACGTGCGTCGGTATTTCTGCGATCGATATTCTGTGCAGCATCCATCGCTTCAAATTTTTATACCGCAAAGCCCCAACTATGCCCTGCTTGCGATCCAGTAATCTTAGCAAGGCACCAGCACTCTCATGGTTAAACGCACACACACACACATACCTACATATGCATGCATGCATGCATGCATACATGCATACATACATACATACATACGTACATACGTACATACGTACATGCGTACATGCGTACATACATACATACATACATACATACATACATACATACATACATACAAATAACTTCGTATGGTCCGTACGGTACGGTTCACAAGCACATCACTGCATCACGTCAGGTCCGGACGAGCGCAGATCGAGCGCCGTGCGATTTGGTTTCTCGAGCAGCCGGGCCCGCATGGCTGCGACACGGAGCTTGGGTTTAGGGGCTTAGGGGTTTAGGGTTCAGTGGTGAAGGGCTTAGAGGTTTATGTGTGAATTAAAGGGGTTAGGATGGTTTGGGATGGTTTAGGGGGTTGGCATACTCTGATTCGTTTCGTTCCTTTGGTGTTGGTAGGGTGTCGTGGACTGTTCACTTCCAGGTACTGTGCTTAGCGGCTGGAGGTCTATCAGGGCTTTTCTTCGTTGATCGTTTGGAGGTTTGGTTTCTGTCAGGTACCTATAGTCTCCATCGCAGTTCCTTTTGGGGATACCTTATAATGTTCCTTAATATATAACTGGTAAACCAAAAAAAGGAACTAGAATGGAGACTATAGGTATTGTGCAGGAGGAGGGCTCGGGGGGTCAGGGTCTAATAGGGCTCTTGTGGGTTGGAGTCGTGGCCTCGTCTTGCGAGGAGCTGAGCCGTGTAGCCGTGGAGGAGGAGGCCTTCTTGGATGCTTGCAATGTATTAGGGTTTGGGGTTTAGGGTTTGGAGTTTAGGGGGTTTAGTTTAAGGTTTGGAGTTTAGGGTTTGGGGTTTAGGGTTTGGGGTTTTGGGTTTGGGGTTTAGGGTTTAGGGTGGCAAGCATTCCAAGTCCTGGACAATTCACTGCAGTAGGCGGGGACAGAGGCCCTCATCAGGGATTCGTACGTGGCTCTGCTTATGCCTAGCACTTGCCAAGATCATCACTGAGCAGACGAGTAAACCCTTGTCTGCCCCGGAACGACTTCCGGCTCTTAACGTTTATAAGGGTTGAGGGTTGAGGGTTTGTGATGTAGGGCTGGTTGGCACCCAAAGCCCACACCTTAAGCAAGCCTTAAAACATCCAGGGTTTCAGGAGTCACTCCTTTGTAACCCTTCCTCCCTTTGAACGGTTCGGTGTTTGCTTCGGGTTTCAAGCGGGCTTAGGGTCAATGTAGGGGCCTATAAAATTACCAATACTATCTTGGGGTTCCTTATTATGATTATAGTATAATGGGCCCCCGAACCCTATTCTAATTTTAAGGCCCCCCATATTACATAAGTGTTTTTTTAGATCTGGCCCTCAAGCTGTAAGCTAAACCCTAAACCCTAAAACCCCAAGACGCCTTGCTTTTGTTTGTTCTGGCAGCAAATGCCCGAAGGGCCCGAACAGGGGCGGGGGATGGTTGGTTTGGGGTTGTAGACAGGACTCTCTGCACTAGGCCCAGAAACCCTTCGTTTAGGGTTTAGGGCCCCTAAACCCCAAGGGCCAAAATCCTGTAGACCTCGATCGGGTATCTGAGGATTCTGCCTTGGAAGCAGCTCTGGATGGACTGCGGAAGAAGGGAGTTTCTCGGGGTGGTCCTGCCGCGGCGACTTGGCGACAAAAAGAGTGTGTCCACAGGTTCAGGGGCTGTGGGCAACACGGTTTGTGAAGTCATAACATAAATAGCATCATCCCAAATACTTACAGTACTGCTTATAATACCACTTGCTGATGATCCGCTGCCACTTTCCACCTGGACCCTAAAGCCCACTAGACTACCGAAACACGACACCCGGGCTATTAGGGTTTAGGGTTGAGGGTCCCGTTGTTTGTACAAGGCAAAACCCCTCAAAGGGCCCCAAGTACCTTTGGCAAGCAGGGCTTCTAGAGGCAAGACTTTCTAGTAGTATTTGGGTAAGTACTTGGAGGTTCATGGGTAGCTATAAGTGAGGTTATAAGTAAGGTAGCTATAGTTATAACCTATATTAGGGGACTTATAACCCCACTTATAACTATCCATGAACCTCCAAGTATCCCCCAACCCTCAGCCCTAAGTCCCTAAAACCCTAAACCCTAAACCCTAAACCCTAAACCCTAAAGTCCCTAAAACCCCAAGGACTTTCACCACCGTACAAAGCACCCTGAGCCCTCAGTCCAAACGGTGCCAGGGTCGGGGGTTCGAAAGGAGGGGACTTGCCGTTGGGTTTAGGGTTTAGGGTTTAGGGTTTAGGGTTTAGGGTTTGAGCAACCTTTTGGGGCTTGTATATTCCTACTATATATAACCTAAAAGCAGGTAAACCTTTAACTTTTTCTGGTGGCCTAATTATATAACCCTCCTATAATCTACAAGGTTAACCCTTTTTTGGGCTAGGGTAC